CATGCCCTGTCCCTCCTGCTCCCTTTTTGTGATGCATCTTCATTTCTTTTATTTCCTTTTCTGCAGAAATCGAAGTGCTCGGTGTGTGAGGAGGAGGGGGAGCCCTTTGTTGCTTCACACACTGAAGGTATGCTGCAGCCAGCAGAAGTGTGTCCCAAGTGAAGCCACACATGGGGGTCCTGGGCAGAGGAGGTGAGGGGGGTTCTCCTTCCTCAAACAGCCACTGTCTTCTTGAAAACCTTTTGCACACCCACCCTCCAAACTGCAGCCTCTCATAAACAGGGAACACCTGGAAGATGAAGGCTGACTTAAAAACTCAAGAGTTGTGTGTGTTTTCTCCCAGAACAGGACCACTTAGAGATCCTCTGATATCTCAGGTGGGTATGTGGGCTGTGGCTCCAGATAAAATTAATTTCCTGCTCCATGTTGGTGCAGCTGTATTGTCCCGATGCAGTGGGTTACTTGATGTGGTTCAGAAGTCAGTTGGGAAAGCCCAACCCTTCTTAACACATCAGCACCCTGGGCATGACCCCAGGATGCTTCAGAGGTGTCTGTGAGCATCTGAACATCACCTGTGGGGCGAGGGACCACCAGCATTTGCCTGGTCTGTGCCATGCTGTGATGCCACAGCCCATATTTTCCCGGGAGAGGAATGTTGAGCTGCGGGCATTAAGCCAGCTCATGTTTGGATGCCGTCCCTCTCTGGGCACAGTGGCCTGTGTGTCCACACATGGTTTCCAGAGCTGCTCGTCCCACCTGTGCATCTCAGTCTCCTCCAAGGCCAGCTGAGCCCTGTGCCTGTTCCAAGGAATGTCCCCCTGGCCAAGCCTGACTTTGGAAGCCAAATGCTCCGGGCGAAAGCCATGTCCTGGCTCTCACAGCAGCAGGAGTGCTGTGCCTCAGGGTGTGGTGTGGAGGGGCTGGGGGCTGGCAGGGGCTGTCTGTGGGCACCAGTGAGGGAGGAATGCCCTGGGTTGTGTCTCCTAGTGAAATCTGTGATGATGAATAACTCCATAACCAGCTAATCTGGGGATCTGTTTGCTCAGCCTCCTTCTCTGAGCTCCTTTTCCTCCTTGGCTGGGAAGTGCCCACAGTTGGCACATGACCGAAATCCCAATGAGAATCCCTTCCAGAGCCACTGGGCTGGCAGAGCCACAGGGCTCCGGGCCACAGCCACCACCCTTTGCCTTTAACCCTGGCACTGCTGGCAGCAAAGCCCTTGGGCTCCCCCTCTTCCATCCCATGGTTCAGGTGCAGGGCCTTCCCTGTCCCCAGCCCAAGGGGATGGCAGTGAATGGAGGCGGGATCCCCCTCAACCCGCGAGCTCTGTGGGGGCTGCACACCCTGCCCAAAGCATCCAGTGAGCCTCAGCAGCCCCAGCTTTTGACCTCCGCTAATTCCGTGGTGCTTAATTACAAGTAGCAGGGATTTGGAGAGGAAGCAGAGGGGGCGAGCACAGGACAGATTGGAGGGAAGATTGTGCTGGGGGTGGCAGGGCTGTCAAGCCAGAAACACAAGAGCTGATTAGCATTTCTAATTATAACCGCTGCGCTCAGCCCGGCAGCGCCCGGCAGGCAGCAGAGGCAGCTGACGGGCTGCGCGGAGCCAGCTGTGGATGCCACGCAGGAAGTGCGGGCGATCAACCTCAAATCCTTAAAGGATGCACAGAAAAGAGCATTAGAGCCTGGATCCATCATCGCCGGGGCTGCGGCAGCGCCTGGGAATGCACAGCTCCCCAGGACTCAAATCCCCCTGGTTTGTGCCCGTAGGGCTGATCCTGACGGCACCGCTTGGAGAGGGGAGAGCGTGTGCCCCTCTTTTGGTTCTGGGTCCTGCACCCCCTGCCCAGCAGTGACTCTGGGCACTGCAGGCGATGGCATTGGGCTGTGCCGTCCCCAGCTGTCACCCAACCCCGACATCCCACCCGCAGGAAGGCGGGTGCTCTGGAGGGGATGCAGAGGTGGGTGTCTGGGGCGTCCTTGCTCCGCGCTGCTGTTAGCACTGACTGGATGATAATTTATTCGTTATCATTTAATCAGGAAAATATTATGGGCCAGCGAATGACCGCTCAGGGCTGCGGCTGCCCTGGGAGCTCCCATGTCCCGAGGGCACAGCGCTCTTGGGGACGTGCCCGCAGAGCCACCGCCTGGCTGGGAAGCGATCAGAGGCCAGCGTGCGGCACGATGCGGGCTTAGCTGGGATTAGCAGGGCTTTGACCAGGAGAAACTGAAGCGACTTAATCAAGGGAGCGAGTGAAAGAATTCCCAGGGAAGAGATCATCATCGATTGCTTTCGGCATCTTCCGGATGGTGCCTGTGGGACCCTCTTCCCCACTTCCGAGCCGCACAGCTCAGCTCTGAGTGCCTGCCTGCTGCTGGGAGCCCATCCCGGCAATGCCAGGGGATTTTTGGGAAGGATAGAGATCCCTTGCACAGGGGCAGCCCAAGCTGAGGGAGCTGGAGCATCCCTGGTGCCGGGTGCCTGGGATAGAAACAGGAGACAGGAACAGCAGGGAAAGATCTCTTTTCCCTTGCACGCTGAATATAAGATAGAATCACACCTGCAGAATTGTTATTACTCTTTTGATTGGATTAATTAATCATTCAGTGATAACTGCTTATTAGGCATTCCAACAATCAATACTAATCACTTAATTACTTGGCATATTACAGCTTGGGAAGGTCTGCTCATTGCTAATTAGATTCGCTGGACAATCCACCTCTGAGTGTTGCAGAGCCCCACGGCAGAGATCCGTGGATTTCAAGGCTCCCTCAGCTTTGGCCCAGGTCTGTAATTCTCATCTCCATCCAAGATTTCATCCCACCTGTGTGTGCCACAAGTGACCCCCAAAATCAGGGATCAAGACACAGGGAGCTGTGGCTGGAGGGTGAGCAGGGAGCGAGGGGTGCTGGGTATCCCAGGCCATGGCACAGAGGGGACATCGCTGCAGGCAGGACAGATCCCAACAGGCAGCTCTGTGATGAGGATGGGCAGGCAGGAGCTGGGGTGCAGGTGAGGAGCCCGGGGTGGGCAGGGCAGGAAAGTTGCTTCCACTGCTCAGGCTCCCAAGATGGCACTGAGGGGGGTGGGAGAGAAATCCCACTGAGGAACGCTCGGGTGAGCATGAAAACGTCTTCAGGCTGGGAGGAAAATAAGGAATTTGTTGGTGTTTGAGAAGAACTGTTGCCCCGTAGCTGTGCAGGAAAGCAGCATATCACAGCACTGAGCCCCTTCTCATCCTCTCAGCTGGCTGAGCTACTGGGCACCCAGCGATGCACCTTCCTGTCCCCGCCGTTTTCCAACCCCACTGTGAAAAACAAAAATAAGTCACGGAGGTTTTCTCTCTTACTGCGTTAATTAAAACTAAAAATAAGCTGTAGAAGTTCCAGAGAACCACCCTGGATTCAGTGGGATGCTAAAACCTGCATGAGTGGGAGCCGTGAGTGGCCAAGGCGATGTTCATCGGCCCCGTCACTGCAGCAGTGCCGTGGGCAATGTGAGCTCACACGGAGGTCTGGGCATTGCATGGGCTTCTCACAGCATGGGAGCAGTGGGATGATCTCAGGGTTAAAAGCAGACAGCAAACACACTGCAGGATTTGGGGGTTCCAGCCAGTTTTGTGTGATGCTTGTTATTTATCACTGCTATTTGGATTAGACCAGCAAAGGCTTTTGCTTGACACTGAGTAGTGAGCTTGACACACACACTGAGTGAGGATCTGGGTATGGAGTGACCAGCTTGATTTTAAAGGTCATTTTGAGCCAAAATGCAAGAGGAGGGAGCAATCTGAACCATGAAAAGGGGACAACTGGATAATATGAAGATCTAAATAGCAAGCAAAGAATTACCCTAACAATGACCCCCCAGGACCAATTTCCATCATATTTTTGTCTCCCTGTCCCCCTTGCTTGCCTGTGTACACCGCATCCCCCTGGACAAGGCTGTCCCTGGCCTGTCTGTCGGTGTCTGACACAAAGCAGCCCCTGTCTTGCCCTGAGGTTTCCCTGCCGAGCCGCAATGCAAACAGGGAGGGCAGCCAGTGCTGCTGCTGGGCTTTGGGATGGAGAAGGGAAACAGTGAGGAGGCAAAGGAGCAGGGATGATGGCAGGTCTCAGCCTCGAGGGGATGCAGCCCCCGAGCCGTGCTGCGGGTAACCAGGGGGGGCTCTGGCAATCTGCCACCCAAAATAGCTTTAAATAAAGCTTGGGGCTTGGGGCCGGGGCACATCAGCCTCTCCATGGACCCCCTCCGACAGGGTCGTTAGCGGCAGCTGGGGGACCTTGTGTGGTGGAGCCTGGGGTGGGATCCCCGGGTGGGTGGGACCCCTGGGCTGTGGGATGGGACCCCCAGGTGGGATGTCCGGGTCCCCAGATGGGAGGTCGGGTTGACCCAGCGTGGGTGTGACCCCCGCGGGGCCGGTGGGGCGGGGGCTGATGCTGCGGGGCCGAGCCGAGCTGAGCCGGGCAGCAGCCCCCCGCCTCCCCGGGCTGCGGGAGCTGCGTGCACCGCCCCCCCATCCCGCACCGCCCCGCGCCGGGCGGAGCCGCCGAGCCCCGCGGGCCGGGCCGGGCGCTGCGGCGGAGCGAGCGGGCGGCGCGG